TAGCCAGCAACAGAGCTTTGAGGGGCGAATTTTACTTCACAGCTTGACGTCTGTATTTGATTTTCTTTGAAGCTTCAGGGTTTCGGGGAATCAAAGGCTAGGAGCTCAAGGAGATTCCGTTACGGTCGAAATGGTTCCCGTTACACCCCGCACCCTTGCCGCAATGTAGGCAATATCTGCTTACAGACCTGGACCCAATTTAGGTGTTATTTTCATACTTGGATCCCTAGAGGGTCAACGTTGTAGCAAGAAGGAGGCAGAGGCCAAGGAAAGCGCCGATGACATGCAGGCCGAGGAGGCCAACTGTACAGGGCCTTGCTTCAGAGGAGTCACGGTTACCTCCTATTAGGGGGTTTTTAGAATGACATGGAAACTGGGGCTACATAGGTTTCACTGCATGAAGGTCTACAATAGTGGATTTGGATTTCGGCCAGTATTCAACAGGGTGTTTAGGGCAGCCTATGATGCTTCCGTACTTGGTAATTTCCTCAAAAAGGAGGACCCCAATATCACACCAAAGTATGAATATGCTTATTATGGGGATCCCTCACACAGGTACCCCTGATAATAGGAAACCTCCACTTGGATCGGGGCAGGTTGTGGGACATAGAGGTGTCTCAAGGATAGAGCTTCTTCCAGAAAATTGTGAGATGGATCCCTCTATGCCCCCCCCTTTGGTCCTACTAGCGTAGTCCCTACCCTTAAGCCTGAACCCCTATACCCACTGATTTAGGGTTTTTGGTCAGGTATTGCCCCCGCCTAACAACTCTCTGTAAAAAGGATTTTTTTGAATTGTATTAGGGCCCATTTGTCAACTTGCCACATTTATTCTTTAACTGACGCTTCGTGGGGGGAGTGCCTAGCCAAAGTGTGCCAAGGGTTTGGGGCTGAGGCAAATTGAAAACGTCAAGGTTGACGGGGTGTACAGGGAAGACGGTTTTCACGAGGGCTTCTTCGGATTCTTGACTTGAATGCTACCTAACCAACATTACCCGCTTCGCAGGGTTCAGGATCATTGAGTCATTTACGTAGCCTCTCAGTTGTGCAGGCAGCAACCGCGGAAGACAACGGCAACGACGGCAACGACGGCACGGACACTGCCACCGAAGCGATGGCAATTTCGGATGGTGCCCTGGGCATTGCATTGTTTTGATGCTGACGGCTTTTGAGGTTAATTACAGGGTTGAGGGTATCAAATCAGCTAGAGCGGTGCAAGGGTCCAGGATATAAAGCACCTCAAGCGTAAAAGCGAGCTCTACTTTTTTAAAAGTCCTTATGGTAGCAACATAGCCCTTACACCCCCTTCGCTCACATTCCTAGCCGCCGTTGCTTATTCCAAGTGTACCAACATCATGCAAACAGGACAAACAGAGTCCAGCGAGATACGCTCCAACATCATTCAAGGCTTGGTCTAGGGTTTATGACTTACCCTAGGGATAAAAAATGGCCAAAGTAGGTAATATTTACAGACTTCAGGGTCTGATGTAGGGTTTCATGTTTATTTTTTGGGCGATGCGCGAAATCACTCTTCATGGCTATACATAGGGCCGGTTGTGTTGATTTGGCTCATGAACAAAACATATCATCATGACGGACTGACTCAAGGAACCGATGTGCAAGAATATAGGCCATGTCACGATTGGAGCAAATACGCTCTACCAACTGTACAGTTGCACCCCGTTGTTGGTGCCCAGTACTACAACGCAGGCCAGTAGACCCATGGAGCCTACATCCTGAACTCATATTTCTAACCCGGAAGTCCGAAGCCGTCTCATCCCTGAGGTTCTAGGTCTTTCAAACGGTATCTCTTTTTGGCTTGAAAGTCCCTACCTCGTACTTGTTTGGGAATACTTGGAGCCGTATATCTAAGCCCAAACCCTAGACCCAAAGCTCCACCGTAAATCGCGAAGCGAGACTCAACCCTAAATCCTAAACCCTAAACGCAAGTACGCAACCCTAAATGAAAATCCGTTAGATAAACTCTATACTGCAGAAGCCTGAATAACTTAAACATTATATCCTCGCCAACGCCTTATGAGGTTAGCACCTCAAATGATGGCCCTGCCACCATCTTCAGCACTCGTACAGCCTGCCAAGTCTGCCTGCATCTGCCTGCTATGGAAAGCTCCGGGCACCAGCAGTCTCCGTTGCGAATACTGCAGCCCCCTTAGCTACATACGTCCCCGTACACTATCCTTTTATCATGGTACAGTATTAACGCGTACCATCTCCCCTAATCCTTTAAACCCAAAACCCAATTCTATTCATTTAGGCTCTACATCTTACTGGGGGTTGCTAGGGAGTGTGGGAATGTAGTATATAGGGCTTATACAGGGATTATATTCCCTATTCCCTATTAGCAAGCAGTAAGACATTGCCCAGGCCCAAGCCGTCGGATTTACCAGAATTCCAACGCCACAGCCACGGTCTTGGAGTCAGACGCAGCCAGCAGTGCAGCTACCAAGGTCGGTGGGGCTCCAAAGGGTGTTAGAGCGTAAGTTGGGTCATCCCCTCTTACAGTAACTGTCCTTAAAGGGGCTTTACTTACGGGCTTTCATAACTCCTTTTTGCCTACTTTGGCAAGAGTTACTATAAGGGGGACTGACCTAAGGTTTAAGGTTGCACCATGTAAGGGCACCCCTGAGGTTCAGGGTAGTAATAGCCCTGTTTTAACTGGACCTGCAGCCCTCAACTGCAGCTTCTTGGGCATTGCGGGCATGCAGCACCAAGCCCTCACAGGCAAATTCGTCGCAGACGGCTCTCCATTCTGTGGAAGATTCGAAGCTCACCTGACCAGTGGCATCTTTTGGGTTGTCAGGATCCCTTCTAGAACGCTGTAGAGTTGCAATTCAGTCTTGAGCCAAAGACACAATGCAGTCTTGGTTGTTGTGTGCTCCTTAACTAGATCTTGCATAGCTGAAGCTTGTTGGGGTCTCAGCTTGTTATGTGACACTGCGTTGAGCCAAAGCTCCTAGATAGTTCCAGCACCTCCAAACCATGCCTAATCAGGGATATCAAGAAAGATGACAAACCCAAAAAGGAAGTACATAGGAGCGCTTGGGTAAACTGGGAAAGCTTCAGACTTTGCACAAGTGACCTTGAGGTTCGATTCTCCACTGTTGGTCCCTGAGCCCACCAAGGTCCAACCACCCCACAAAACACAACCCTATCCTCGAATAAGACCGTACCTTCTTTTCCATTCCTTACGGCATGTCTGTTGATATCCCTACATGCGCTATAAATTTACTAAAGTCCATTACTGGGTTGCTATCCCTAGGCCCTAGATCCTATATGCCCCTTATACATCCCTGTATAGCCCCTTTCTAACTCGGCATGCCCTCAACCCACCAAGGTTCAACCACCTGACCCAAAAAAACATAATCCATCTAAGGAGCGGCAGCGCTGGTGAGCAAGGACAGCATGAGCTATCCTTGCCCCCTGACCCAGGGAGCCCAGCATCTCTCATTCGAGGATTCCCTGAAGGGACGAGGATCAGGATGAGAACGGGACATGCCAAGAAAACAAGAGGGCCACTTTCCATCCCCCAGCTTCATGATTTTGGGATTTCGAGCCTCATGTTACCTCCATGGAGGCTTTGGCCTTTTGAGGTTAAGAACTCTCAAGAGACCTATAGATTTTGTACATGGTGCGCATGGCCCTACTCGAAGGTGCAGTCTCCAATAACAATCACACCCAAAGCCCTAACAAACCCTGATTGTCTGCTTGAAGCTCAGCGGAGGACTTGCAGAGGCTGCAGATGCACAGAGTGTGGCCGAGTTGAGCGCTGAGAACACAGAGGGCCTGGAAGAAGGTGGCATCAGCTTGGGGGAAATCAGGGGGGGGAATTGAGGGATTGCGAATAGGGATTTTTGTCTTGTGTGTATTTTTTTTTGCCATGTTTTTGGACATGTTGTTTTTGGTCGGGTTTGGGATTGGGGTTTGGGGTGTCTCGCTCGGAGTGTCTCAGGTCCTAGAGTGCAGGTGTCAAATGGGTCTGACTGGCGTGTTAATCACCTCTCCCTTCAAACAAACCTCCCCATACTCCTAATAAGGAATACTAAGTCCCAATATACAAATATTATTTGATAGGGGGCGTGTTATCATTAATCAGGTGGTAGGGAGGTTCATTCTCAAGCGAAGGGGTTTATGAGGAGTACGGGTTTATTGTTCCGTTTGCAACACCTTACGGGCCCTCCAAGTTAGCTCCAGGGATTTCGCGTCAGATTTATATCATTTGAAGCAGGATCCCGAGATATCCTGTTGCGCTAAGCTCCCTAAGACCCCAAAAACCTTTAATCATTATCTCCCCTAAACCCCAAACCCTAAAACCCTAAACCGGAAAACCCTGGAAAGTTTGAGAGGCTGGGAGCCGGCCATCAGCTTAATTCTCTTCCGTTCACGAGCAACAGACAAATGCCCTGAACCCCACACCCTATACTAGGTTCGGATTTTATGACCACAATGGGGATATGAACCCAAGAAATCAAAGAGCGCTTACCCTCCTAGGGCTCCTTTTAGAGTGCTCTTTGATTCTGTTTACCCTAGGTCAAAATCCTAACCTGACCTATACTCTAAACCATGAATCCAAATTTCTAACCCTCGTTGTGGGTTAACTTGCCTCGTTTAGGACAGCCTTAAGGAATGGATCTCCATAGCCAACCTCACCTGCCTTCCTTCCCTACTATCACGGTTGGGGCTTAGGGTTTTGGGTTTAGGGCCTCCCAACATTCATCGCCACCCATGGTTCCTGATACTTCTCATCGTGGCCTGGATATAGTTGCTGATGTCTATGCGGCATCATTAGTCTCATGGACTTATTTTGTAGGTTCCAAAAGAATAGGAAGCCGAAATTTGCGCATGTAACCCGTGTACGCCCTTTAAATTGGGCTTCTACCTATTCGCCTCAGGGCTTTACATCCTCTTTTCCCCAACATATGTCTACGTGATCTTTAAAACGGTGATCCTAATTATCAGCCTCAGGGCTTCACAAATCCTCATATTCCCCCGTATGGGTGGTTGTCAATATTATGGTCCCTTTTTCGGTACCCTAGATATTAGGTGCCGTATTATAATAGGGACCCAAAAAGGGACCATAATTTTGACAACCACCCATATATCCGTATGTGTGACCCCTACATACTCTTTGAAGGGGGCCCCTGATTGTTAGTGTCAGGGCTTCAATTGTCTTGGAAGGCTCTGATGAGGCGGAGTCTGAGGAGTTGAATCGAGGTGCGGCGCAGGCGGACTGATTTCGCAACAACAGGGAGTTTTAGGGGGTTTGGGGTTTAGGGGGGGTTTAGGGTTTAGGGGGTGTTGGATTTAGGGGTGTTCAGGGTTTCGGGGGTTTTGTGTTTAGGGAGGTTTAGGATCTAGGTGGTTTAGGGTTTAGGGCCAGGGGCCCTTGGGTGACCCTAAGGGGTATTTGGGGATCTGCTGTTGTCATTGTGCTTAGTACCCAGAGGGGTCCAAAATGTGAGGACGGTGTCTCATGTTCAGCGACCTGCCTGTTATGAATCTGCCTGCCCTGCCTCAAGCTAACATGGAGCCCCAAATTCCCCAGAAGTCCCTTTCAAAAGTACTGTATTCCAAATGGGGTAGGGCCCATTTATAGGATCCATGTTAGTTTGGGGAAGGGTGCCGCTTTTGCATGCCTAACCTTCCTTCGAGGCATGCATCGGCACCATGATCGAGAAGTGCCCCTCTGAAACTGGGCTAGAGTTTGGGTTTCAGGGTTTAGCGTTGAGCCCTTCCAAGGTTAATTTAGCCCATTAGGGCTTCTATCAACAGTTATTTGCACGCAGGGGCCTTTGAGCCATTTAGTCAGCGCATAGCGCACTGTCATATTGGGGTGCTTTTTGGGAGTCGCTAGAACGAGCGTCCTTTGGGGTAGGCCAACAGTAGATACAGGGACGTTTGTTTATGGACATATCCATATGCCCGGTGGGTGACATGAGAGACACATATCCGTAGGTTCAAATGGCCCGCTGGTGTGGTTCAAT